ATGAACACAAAAAACTTTACTAGGTCCTTTTTCTTAACTCTAATTCCTCTCTCTCTGAGTGAGGCCTTGAGATCCTTAATGAAAACGGCCTCTTTAGACAAAGAATGGCCCATCTCGATGGAGTGACAATGTAAAAAATTTACTCACCAGACCGTCGATTCTGTGAGCGGCAGACGAGGGTCTCTGTAGGGTTTTCTTCGGCCGAAGAGCGCACCGCGGCGTCACTCGACAAAGGTCTGTACCTTGAGCCCCATGTTGGGCGCCACTTGTCCCGGCCCGAGGGACTTTTTGTTACTCGTGGAGGTCAAGGGGGACCGTGCCTGAAAGAGATGGGCGAGAGAAAGGAACGAGACCAAGCAAATGGTTGTCAAGGTCTACTTTACTTAGATTCTTAGTAGGTTTTATAAGCATACAGAAACAAGGAAGTAGAAACAGAAAAATAGAGTGGGGTAACATGAGGCTTGGGTTTGGGCTAATCAGCCCCAATCAGCGTCTTATTGGTATCGAAGCTGTTTGTGACTGATTACTCAACCCCAACCTGGCAGGTGGTCGGGAATAATCGCAGTTAGCACATCCTGGAGCATTTTGCGGTCAGCACGTCATGGAACAGCTATAGCTGGAGGGTGGGGTGCTGTTCTTGTTCTGGGAATTTTCCAGGGCGAGGCCCGTGTGTAGGACAAGTCATAGGGGTGTTGAGGGTCTTAGCTTCTAACATAAAAGTAAATTAATTAGCGGCTGGGTGTGGTGGCTCATGCCTATAATCCTAGCAGTCTGGAGGCTGAGGCGGGAGGATTGCTTGAACTCAGGAGTTCAAGACCAGCCTGAGCAAGAGTGAGACACCCATCTCTACTAAAAATAAAAAAAATTAGTCAGGCATGGTGGCCCAACATGCCTGTAGTTCCAGCTACTTGGGAGGCTGCAGCAGGAGGATCGCTTGAGCCCAGGAGTTTGAGGTTGCTGTGAGCTAGGATGATGGCTGGACACTCTAGCCTGGGCAACAGAGTGAGACTCTGTCTCAAAATAAATAAATAAATAAAATAAAATTAAAAGTATATCAATTAATTAATTAATTTAAAAAATAAAAGAAGAAAAACCAAAGTACCCAAGCATTTACTTTGTGTTGGGAAAGTGCTCCTTTGCTGGGGAACAACAGAATGGAAGTAGGTCATCACAAAGAAGGAGCAGCAGCAATATGACTCAGAGATGCCACAACTGTACCTAGGCTTGCCCTCCATCTCTGTTGGCATCTCGCACCAAGTCTGCAACATTGCTAAACCAGTTGGTGGCCTTCAGGCTCTGATAATTTTTCTCTCCTCTGACCTTGACTACCTCTCTCTGTCAAACTCTGCACTCAACACACGCCTTTGGTGCTTTGTAAAGGAAGACAACAGGTAGAACTCTAACAGACCATGGCAGAGCCTGGATGGACACAGGAACTAGAGAAACACAGCCAAGGGATGTATGGTCACTAAAAAAAATAGATAATGAAATTCTGGTTGACAAAAAGAGGAGAGTCAAGGACAGAGCCAATATTTGAAGGGCAAACAATGGAATTGAGGTCTACAAAGAGACAGTGAAAAGATGATCAGAGAAGTGGGAGGTAAATCTGGAGAGAGTCGGGTCCTCAAGACAAAGGAAGAAAGGATTTCCATCAGGGAAAGAGAGGTCAAAAGTGTCGACTAAGATAAGGTATGCCTACTATTAATAATTAAGAAAGCTCATCAATCTTTTCCTGCTGCACACTGGGAGCCCTGATAGCCAGGCCTTTCCTCTGTAAGCAGGAGATGAGAAGAGTCATTTTTGCTAAATGTCACCAATTTAAAAGGAAAAATGAAAATACTTATCTTGGAGGTTCCCCAAGGAAATAATTTGGCCAGATCTTCCACTGTGGTATTCAGAATGGATTAGAGCCACGTGAGAGCTCAGAGATTTTGTTTGCCTGTTTGTTTTAAAATCAACTATATCAATGTATAATTTATACAAATAAATACATTCAAGTGTACAATTCAGTGATTTTTGACATGTATACTCCCATGTACCACCCAATCAAAGTATAGAATATTTCCATCACCCCAAAAAGTTTTCTCATATTCCTTTATAATCAGCACTTCTCCCTCACAAGTAACAACTGATGTGCTTTTTGTCACTACAGATTTATCTATTCTAGAATTTCATATAAATAAACCAGACAGCATGAAATTGTTTGTGTCTGGATTCTTTCACTTAGCACGATGTTTTTCTCCCAAACATTTCATATAAAAATATTAAATCATAAAGCAAAATTGAAAGAATTTTACAGTAAACACCCATATATGTACCACTAGATTCTACCAGTAAATACTACTACATTTGCTTTAACACATCCATTTATCCATCTACCAATCCATCTTACTTTTTTTTTTTTTTTTTTGAGACAGAGTCTCGCTTTGTTGTCCAGGCTAGAGTGAGTGCCGTGGCGTCAGCCTAGCTCACAGCAACCTCAAACTCCTGGACTCAAGCAATCCTCCTGCCTCAGCCTCCCGAGTAGCTGGGACTACAGGCATGGGCCACCATGCCCGGCTAATTTTATATATATATATTAGTTGGCCAATTAATTTCTTTCTATTTTTTTTATAGTAGAGACAGGGTCTCGCTCAGGCTGGTTTTGAACTCCTGACCTTGAGCAATCCGCCCACCTCGGCCTCCCAGAGTGCTAGGATTACAAGAGTGAGCCACCACGCCCGGCCCCATCTTACTTTTTTGTGTATTTTAAAGATTCCTCTTAAACACTTCTGCATGCATATCAGGCATAGTTATCTATGCTGTTATTTGAATCAGTTGTTTGCTCCCTTTTGCTGCTGAGTAGTATTCTATTATATAGATAAACCACAAATAGTTTCTCCATTTGCCTGTTGATGGATATTTAGGTTATTTCCAGATTTTGGTTATTATGAATACAGCAGCCATGAACATTTGTATACAAGTCTTTCTATGAATATGTCCTTTTATTTATCTTAAGTAAGTACTTAGGAGTGCTTTTGTGGGGTTATATGGAAAGTATAACTTTATTACAAACATTCAAACTGTTTTCTAAGTTGTACCATTTTACACTTCTGTCAACATTCTCACTGACACTTTGTTTTATCAGTCCTTTTGATTTTAGTCATTCTGGTAGCTTTTAAATTTTCATTTCTCTGATATCTGATGATATTGACCATTTTTTCATGTATTTACTGGTCACTTGTGTATCTTCTTTTGTAAAGTATCTATTCAAATCTTTTGCCCATTTAAAAAATGAGTCATTTATTATTCGGTTGTAAAAATTCCTTATATATTCTAGTTTTATGCGCACTGTGAGATATATATTGGAAATATCTTCCCTTAGTTTATGGCTTGCCTTTTCATTTTGTTAACAGTGCTCTTTTGATGAGAAGATTTAAAAAATTTTTTTTCAAGGGACAGGATCTCGCTCTGTTGCCCAGGATATAGTACAGCAATTATTGTTCCTGCAACCTCAAAATCCTGGGCTCAAGTGATCCTCCCACAACAGCCTCACAAGTAGCTAGGACTACAGGTGTGTGCCACCATGCCTGGCCCAGATTTTAAAATTTTGATGAAGAGCAATTATAAATGTTTTCTTTTATGATTAATGCATTTTTGTGTCCTGTCTGCAAAATCTTTGCCTACCCCAAGGTTGCAAAGATTTTTCTTTTAAGAATTTTATAGTATTCGGTAATGAAAATCAATTGAGTATTCTAATATACAACATAGTCTCATGAACATGATGTTGAGCATAGAAAGGAAGATACAAAAGAATACAGTTTTCATTCATATAAAGTTCGCTCTTTTAAAAATTTTTTGTTTGCTTATCTCTGTTTATGCTATTATTATTTTTGTCTTTTTTTTTGTTTTTTGGTTTAGTTATTTTTTTATTCATATAAAGTTCAAAAAAAGCCCAAACTGGCCAAGCACCATGGCTCATGCCTGTAATCCTAGAACCCTGAGAGGCCACGGCGGGAGAATTGCTTGAGCTCAAGAGTGTGAGACCAGCCATCTCTACTAAAAATAGAAAAAAATTAGCCTGGGTGATGGTGCAGGCCTGTAGTCCCAGATACTCCAGAAGAGGAGGCAGGAGGATCACTTGAGCCCAGCAGTTTGAGATTGTAGTGAGCTATGATGATGCCACTACACTCTAGCTGGGGTGACAGAGCGAGACTCTATCTCAAAAAAAAAAAAAACAACAACCTCAAAGACAAAAAAACTAGTCAAAACTAATCTATACTGTTTATAGATGCATATGGAAATGGTAAAATTTATAAAGAAAATCAAAGAAGTAATTATCTCAAAAGTTAGGCAGTAGTTAACTTTAGAGGTAAGAACTGGGTTATGATCAGGGAGGGGCACACAGGAACACTTTGAGATGTTTATATTTTGTGTCTTGGATGGTGGTTATATTGATGTTTGGTTTATACTTCTTCACTAAAGTGCGTATTTGTTTTGTGGGCTTTACTGAATGTCTTTTACATTTTACAATTTTAAACAGTCAACATTTTTTCAATGAAGATGTAACTTCAATATAATTCTTACTCTGAAATTAAAAAAAAAACACACAACTCAATAGAAGGGTTGGAAAATAGAGGAAATGTCCCAAAAGGTATAGCAAAAAGTAAAAGCAAAGAAAAGCAGGGGGAAAAACACATAACAAGTTCAGAAGGCACAATATCCAAAATAAGAAGAAAGAAAAAAATCTCAGAGAAAATGGAAGAGAGAAATCACCAACCAAATAAAGTAAGTATCCTAGAATTGAAGGATATGAGTTTCCAGATAGACAGCCCTGAGTGCCCAGCATAGTGGATGCCAATTTCAGATGAAAGGAAGGTACTGTGAAATTTCAGAATACCGGGGGCAAAGAAAAGATGCTACATACTTTCAGAGGGAAGAGTGGGGAAAAAAGCTCACACTTAAAAAAATAGGAATCAAAATTATTTTGGACAACTCAATAGCAAGACTGATAGATTATAGACAGTGGGGGAAATGCTTTCCACATTCTGGAGAAAACTAATTTCCAACCTAGAACGTCTATGCTCAGAGTGAGGGTAATAAAGGCATGTGCAGACTGCCAAGTTCTCACCCAACCTCAGGGAGCTACTGTGGGATGTTGCTGAACCATACTGAGGGAATAAACCAAGAAAGAGAAAGACATGGGGTATGTAATACATTTGACTCACACAAAAAGGAAATAAAGGGAATTGTCAGGCTAATAATGGTTAAGGGAGATTCCAGGATGACAGCTGAGTATCGGAGTAAACCAGTCCAAATTGGAGTACAGCCAATGGCTCTGGAAGTGACTTCTCCAGGAATCCAAAATTAATAATACACCTACATATCAATAAATTGAGATAAGATGTGGAAAACCGACAAAGAGCTTCGGATTGAACTACGTAGAAAACCAACAAAACAAAAGCCCTGCACGGTGGCCTAAGACTTTAGTCCCAGCTACTAGAGAGGCTGGCTGAGGATGGAGAATCTGAGCCCAGGATGTAGCAAGACACCCTCTCCAAACAAACAAACAAAAAAAGAAAGCCAACAAAACAAGTCAATTATTAACTCCAGAGGAAATGAAAAGTTGTGTAGGAAAGTAAAAGTAATCATAGTTCCTACATAACTGGGCCGTGGCTATTGTTTCTGGGATTATAGTGGTATAAATACAGAAGATTTAATTTAATAAAAATCAGAATACAACTATTTTAAGAAGATGGAGAGGCCTGGCGAGGTGGCTCACGGCCTGTAATCCTAGCACTCTGGGAGGCTGAGGCGGGCGGATTGCTCGAGGTCGGGAGTTCAAAACCAGCCTGAGCAAGAGCGAGAACCCGTCTCTACTATAAATAGAAATTAATTGGCCAACTAATATATATAGAAAAAATTAGCCGAGCATGGTGGCGCATGCCTGTAGTCCCAGCTACTTGGGAGGCCAAGGCAAGAGGATTGCTTGAATCCAGAGTTTGAGGTTGCTGTGATGAACTAGGCTGAAGCCACGGCACTCACTCTAGCCTGAGCAACAAAGCAAGACTTTGTCTCAAAAAAAAAAAAGAGGATGGAGAGATTAAAAAAAATAAAAGGTGGGGGGTGAACACAGGGTGGGAGTAAGGAAGAAAGAAAATTTATGTCTCCTCCTGGTTCTCAGCACTCCAGCCCAAGGCAGAGCCTCCGTTGCACCAGTGAGGCCTGGAAGAAGGAAGGGATTCCCACATGTCTCACCCACACCAGCCTGAGCCCACGGCCGCGAGAAGCAAGATAGGAAATGCTGACTTCCGGTTCCTCTGACCGACGACGGGAGCTGTGAAAAGAGGAACTCAGGGTTCTTGGTTGCAGCCGGTCAGAGAAGAGACTCTGTCTTCCTGAGCTGAGAGGAAGAAGGATGAGAGAAATTCGGTTCAAATACCGTAGACTAACTTTCTCATGGAAGAGTTTTCGTAGATTGCTTTTGAATAGATGGTTTCGTCTTTTGCAGTTTGTCCTTAGGACCATTTCCAGAGGCTTTGAATAAATGGTGTCCTCTTTTGCAGTTAGCCCTTAGGGCCTTTTACTAGGCCGTTTGTAGTTTCACATAACTTTCACTGCACTCTGGGTGGTGGGTCCCCGCCCCGCCTCCTGCCCCCTCCCCACTCCCAAGCTTTTCTTGCTGTCTTGCCGGTAGTTAATCTCTTGGTATTATTCTTGCAACTTTCTTGTAAGTTTCAAATTATTTCAAGAAATTTAAAATAATTTTTTTTTAATCACAAGAAAGTAATTAGGAAAAAATAGATTAAAACAGGAAGCACGTTCACTTTTGCTATGTATTTGCGACACACCGGTAATAAGCACTAGCAGTTGTTCACAGTAACACCTGGAACTTCTTTAAACGTCCGCGCTGGGTTCACGGCACACGCAGTCACAGAAACCCTGAGCAGGAAGCAGCGGGTTAGCAGTCTTCCCGGAGAGCATTTCAACTCAGAGGAGTCGTCCGGGGGCTGGAGAGTGGGGTCTCCGAGCCTAACACAGTGAGTGTCCGGTGTTAGACTTTTGTGGCATAGTTGAGACATGTCCCAGGCGAGCCGAGGCCACCAGAGGAGGAGTGGGCAGGGAAGCGAGCCATTGCCAGGGAACCACGTCAGCCTGCAGGCTTTCGGTTTCCTTTGTTTCCAAGTTGTTTGCGCTTTTCGGGCGTCCAGGGGAGCGAGGGCTGACGGCGGAGCTGGAGGGGAGCCCGGGCACGGGACGCAGGACGACGGTACGTGCCCCGCGCTCGAGCCCCTCGCTCCTGCGCAGCAGACTCGCCCCGACCGCTACCCCCGAGGCCGGGTTTTCTCGTCAGTGTCGCCGCAGGCCCTGCGCGCGCGCGTGTCCCGGTCCCACCCTTCGTCGCTTCTCGAGGACGCGGGGGTGCGGGCCAGGGGCCAGGGGAGGGGTGGGCCTTCGGGTTGGTGACTCAGTCCGGTGGTTTCCTTATCTCGGGTTTGCCCCTCGAGCACCCGGTTGGGCAGAAGCCCCCGCCCCCGCCTCCACCCGCTCTCCCCGGTTCTCAGCCCCTCCCCGCCCGGTGCCCTGGATTCTCAGAAAGGCGGCCCCACGCGGCCGGGGTTCCAGGTGCGGCCCGACGGACCGGACCTACCGGAAGCCAGCCGTGGTTACCGTAACTGGCCACCGAGCAGCCACAGACAGAAAACTGGCTGCGAGCTCTGGCGACGGGTCCCCAGCGTCCAGTAAACTTTGCTTAAGACCTTGGGAGTTGCTCAACTCCTGGGGTGAACAGTTGAAAAGATTTGGCAATTTCCCTTTTGAAAAGTTAATGGGAACGTAGACTTTTGCTTTCTTTCTTTCTTTTCTTTCCGTAGACTTTCTGCATTGTGTGTGTGTGCGTGCGTGCGTGCGTGCGCGCCTTGACTCAGCTGTATCCGCTGGCCCGACAGGAATTTTTACTCTTTTGCAATATCCTGGTGGTGAAGTAGGTCAGGTTTCCCAAAGCAGTTTAATGTATGTATATTTTGGCAAATTGCTAAGAAAGCCTGCCTTGAAATAGTTGGAAATGCTTGGCTACGTTTTTTAAAACCTTAAAATGAACCTGTTTTCTTGTCCTCCCCTTGAGAAAGAAAGACTGCGGAAATGTAAGATGATTTCAAGGTGTTTGCTTGACTGTCCGGATTTGGACAGAAGGGCATGTTCTTTTCTTGGTAACAGTGGGATGCAATAGGACAAAGGGCCACTGGGGAATAAATTTTTGACTCAAGGGGGGCAGGGAGTAAGTTCAGGGACGGCTAACCTCTCTCAAAGATTTTTGAAACTTGTTCTGAAGCAATGAGGGGTGAAGCATGTGTAAAGCATTTGGACTTGGACAAACTGTACTAAACTAGAACGAAAACCGGGCTCTGGCCTGCTTTACATAAGAGAGTTCCGATAAGAAGAATGGAACTTTGGATATTTTTCTTTTGGGTGGTTGCCCTAGAGAAAGTTTCCTTGACCAAAAAATTTGGGTAAACTCCAAGATTAAAAAAAAAGACACTGGTTCGAAAGGGAACTTTGTTTGCTGTACAGAATTTTTCTTTTTTTGTTAACACTTGTTTTACTGATAGCTTTTGGGTCGATGTACTGGTTAAAATGTTTTTGTCTAGAGACATCCTGTTTTACATTTCTGTAACTGACAATTGCACTTCCTTGAACACTGTTACTTGCTCCCTTAAACCGATGTCCAAGGTGAATCCACCTTCAGGTCTGCTAGGGGCGCCAGGTGCTACCCCAGGAGTCTGGCGCCACTGGGGCTGGGGAAGGTCACCGGCAGTGTTTTGAGCCTTGGCAAACTGTAAGGGAAGTAGCTTGGCGCCCGGGCGTCCCCGGGGTCTTACCGCCACTCCTACCTTACTAGGTGACGGTTGGTTGCTGCGGTGACACCCAGTCCCGGTGGCCCGGGAGCCAGACGTGAACTCCCTTCAGCGTCACATGGGCTGTTTGGTCACGAGAGTTGCCATCTGGAGAGACACGCGCTTGGCCATGTGCGAGTTTCTACTACACGGGCAGATGCCGGTCCTCCCTGTATGGGCGGCGCGTCACGCCTGTGGACTGCGTGGAGGAAACGCGAAGGGGCTCCACACTCAAATTTTAGGACGCGGCGGGGAAGCCACTTCTTGATGCATATGACTCTCTTCCACAGTTCCTCATCAGGTCAAGCATTTCCAACTCTGATCTGCAGTGTCAGGTCTGAGTGTCTGAGATCCAGAGGGAAGAGCTGGCGGCTGCCTGGGCGTGAGTAGACTGACAACCTTGCCCGCCCCACTTCTCCCGACCCCCATCCCCGGGCTGGTGTGGTCTGGGTTCTGGGTACGTCGTTGGGGCACTGTCCCCCTGATCCCGGCAGGAAAGGATTAAGTCTCCCGCTTTCAACCTTTGGCCTCTTCCTTGAGCCCTGTTGCTCTTTTAAATCCCAGGAATGGACTCCCTTTGGGAATAGGAGCCCCCTTTAAGTCTGGTTATTTTTTCCTTGTAGAGCCCCAAGGGCTAATTAAACTCTTGTTTGTGGACTCAAATGCCTCCTTGCCTTTAATTCAGTATAATCCTTCCTATATTCGTTGTGCTTCCTTGGGCCAGGTTGAGTTCTGGTTCCTGAGGACATAGAAATGGATCTAAACTTGGTTCCTGTTTCCATACTACCCAGTATGGTTGGGGGAGACTGGGCAAAGTTACATGCACAAGTAACTTGGAGTTAAGGCAGTCTAGACAAGGTCCACCCAACCTGTTGACACAGGAGGAAGCCTTTGGGCCAAGGTGGGGCAGTAATTACACCTAACAGAAGGCAGCATGTAACCACATGCAGTCTATTCCTCCCTCCCTCCCTTCCTTTCCCCTTCCTTTCCTTTCTTTCTCTTTTCTTCTTTTCTTTTCCACAGGGTCTTATTCTGTTGCCCTGGCTAGGGTGCAGTGACATTATCATAGCTCACGGCAGCCTCAAACTCCTGGGCTCCAGTGATCCTCCTGCCACAGCCTCCCAAAGTACTAGGATTACAGGCATGAGCCACTGCATCCAGCCTGGGCTAATTTTATATATATATATATATATATATATTAGTATACTATATATATATTTTTTTCTTAGTTGTCCAGCTAATTTCTTCTATTTTTTTTTTTTTTTTTAGTAGAGACGGGTCTTGCTCTTGCTTAGGCTGGTCTCGAACTCCTGAGCTCAAACGATCCTCCAACCTCAGCCTCCCAGAGTGTTAGAATTACAGGTATGAGCCACACACATGGCCTATTTTAATTTTTCCTCTCTCTTTTTTATTTTCTCTTTCTCTCCTGGGTTCTCTTGGGCTAGAGTGCTGTGGCATCAGCCTAGCTCACAGCAACCTCAAACTCTTGGCTCAAGTGATCCTCCTGCCTTACCACCCAAGTAGCTGGGACTACAGGTGCATGCTACCATGCCAAGCTAATTTTTCTTTTCTTTGTTTTTTTATCCAGTAGAGATGAGGTCTTGCATTTGCTGAGGCAGTTTCTTGAACTCCTGACCTGAAGGATCCTCTCACCTTGGCCTCCCAGAATGCTAGCATTACAGGCATTAGCCACAGAGCCCATCCTATCATAACCTTTTAATTTTTATCATCTTGGCTGCTGGTCATGCTGTTTGTCTTTCACTTCCTGGTAACTGATGGTAACTTCCTGGGCAACACTTCATTGTCTGTGTTGTTGAAGTTTCTTAAAACCTTCTGTTCCAAAGAGGTTTGGGTCTATATCTTAAACCTGCAGGTCCTATCTCTGCTCTCTTCTGCCCCTAGTCACCATTAGCATGTCTTAGTGTTTTTAAAATATATATTTTGCTTCTATTTTTTTTTTTTTGAGATAGAGTCTCACTTTGTTGCCCAGGCTAGAGTGAGTGCCGTGGTGTCAGCCTAGCTCACAGCAACCTCAAACTCCTGGGGCTCAAGTAGTCCTACTGCTTCAGCCTCTAGAGTAGCTGGGACTACAGGCGTGTGCCACCATGCCTGGCTAATTTTTTGTATATATGTTTTTAGTTGGTCAATTAATTTCTTTCTATTTTTAGTAGAGACGGGGTCTCGCTCAGGCTGGTTTCGAACTCCTGACCTCGAGTGATCCGCCCGCCTCGGCCTCCCAAAGTGCTAGGATTATAGGTGTGAGCCACCGCGGTCGGCCTATATTTTGCTTTTTTCCTCATTATTTTGTATGATGCTGTTTCTCCAAAGTATATTAAAGAACTGATATTTGTTGTATTAATAGCTCTGCTTTCTAGTGAAAGGAACACTAATGACCCCGTTTTTTTTAGAATGTGTATATGTGCAATTTATGTTTCATTCATCTGCTTATTCAGATGCCCTCAATGTTTTTTCTCTGTCTTCAATTCTTGGTTTAGAGAAATAATTTCTTTTTGATCTCCTGCACATATGAAAAAAAATCTATAGAGACACATATATATTCTTGAATCTTCCTTTTCCACATTTTGTACTTGTTCTGTATTTACTTTCCTTTTTGTTTTGGGGTTTTTTGAGACAGGTAAACAAGGTCTCTGTGTGTTTCCCAGGCTTGTCTCACATTCTTGGACTTTAGCAATCCTCCCACCTCAGCTTCCTGAGTTCCTGGGACTGTAGACGATGCCACTTCTTGCAGCTTTGTATTTGCAGTCCTTTCATGGTCTTCACTTCTAGCCACTTTGTCTTTATTTGGCCATTTAAGTTTTTGGCTAGATTAAACATAACTGCTACATAATTTTTCTCTTATTCTCTATACTGGGTTGTCATTCTTTGATAATTGAGTACTTATTGTAATAGAACTAAGCTCTACACGTTTGATATCACTTTCTCTGCATTTTCAAGATGATCTGTATTTTTTGCAGTGAACTCTTCAATTGTATAAATGAATCTATATCATCTATATTTATACCTGTATACCTCAGTTTTTCAATGTCTTGAAAAAATCCTCTTGTAGCTACTTACTGCAAGGTTTAAAATGTTTCTCAGTGTAATGACTTCCTGTAGTCATCTGACTTTACAAGTAGGAACCCAAAGCTTCCTTGTCTACTTGTGAAATTCTTGATTTTTTTTCCTTGAACTTCCTTTGGCTTATATATCTGGCTTTTTGTTTTTGTTTCTTACTTTACTTGCAGCTTTGTTTTACAGAGTAGGCACTTGACAAATTTCTTGCTTGACTACTACTTAGTAAGTGAACAAATTCCCTGCAACAATGACTGAAACTTGATTCAGAGTTGAATGAAAAAAATTCATTAATTCCTTTAGCATTTACTGAGCACCTGCTGGTGCTATGGAATGAGAGCAAACAGATCTCCCTCTTCTTTCTGAAGCTCCCTTTCTAGTTGGAAAGATAGAAGCAGCAGCAAAAGTTATGCTCAAAACCTTGGCCATGGTATATTATTGAAACCCCAGCATTCATATTTTATACTTGACTTGCATTCTACTCTAACCCATGGCTGGGTTATTTTAATGTGGCAAATAATTATAAGGCTGTGCTCTAAGTACACTGGTGGAGCTATTAATAAAATGTGTGGTGGGACAGGGAAGTTATATAGAACACAAAGCTGTACCCCTAGAGAATCTACATCAGTTACTGTCAGCCTTGGCTTTCTGGCTAACATTCAGCCTAAATGTAGAATGAATCTGTCCTTTTAACCTAGGTAGTCAGCAAGAATGGCAAGGTACCTAGAAAGAGGAACCGGGCAAGGGATGAGAAATGAGGCAATAGGTAAACAGGTACCAGGGATGGTGATAAGACAGAAGCAATCATGGAATTTTCATTTTCTTCTCTACTTTTCTCTGTTTTCCAGGTCTTCCTATTGCAAGCAGTCAGTGCTTTTTATAATTAGAAAAAACAATGCTGTATAAAAAGAATTTTAAGAGCAATTTCTGGTTTTGAACAGAGCTGTCTCCTTGGCCCTTTAGTTACAATGGAGAACCCATTATATAAACTGAGCAAATATACCCACTGGGTTGAATTTTTAATTCAAGCTAATCTTCTGTAGATAAGCTTCAGAGAATGTTAAAATATTTTATTTTATTGTGGCATAATTGATACTATGCTATTCTCTTGGACAGACATGATTGTTTCTTTAACCACTTCTTATTCCTTTGATGAAAACCTTGAGAAGTAGGAATGCATGTGCTCTTGCATGAGGATATACGTCCAGTTCCTCTAAAGGTGACATCGGATACCATTAAGGTGACATTTAGACAACCTGAAAAGAAGTGAGGCTGAGCCACAGCCCTTATTCATACAACTTGGAATTGAGATCTGGTCTCTGAACTCACACTTTGCTGAAGCAGTAAAATTTGAAATCTTGCTTAAACTCAGGCAGCTTGACCTGTTGCTGATTTTTCTGCCAAGGAAATTGAAGCCTGGTAATAAATTAATGAATGTACTAAATGCCTCACATTGTCCTATGGTTTTTTTCCTCAGGAAAGTGAATGAATACAGCAACAACTTACAGAAGATTAGTTATATATTAAACTTGTACTGTCTCATATAAGATATTAGTAATTTTGAGGATGTTAGAGGGCTGTCCTATTTAGGAAAAAAATACTTTAACTTTTAGGCATGTTGAGTCCATCCTAGGAGAACTATACTACACAGAGGACTGGGTTTGGAAAAAATGAAAATTCTGACACATAAAACTTTTTTTTTCTATTTAATTTTCTTTTCTTACCTCCAAAGTTCTGCTTGATGACACATAAATCTTAAGAGATTTGGAAATTATGGTTTATTGTGATAAGTGCAAAGAATACGTTTTTAGCAAAAGGTGCTGGGGGTGGTACTTTTTGCTAGGGCCAGGAGATATTTGGTGAGCTTGGTTGGTGACACTATATTCCTCCTGTTCAAAGTGAAGCCCTGTCAGCTTCCAGGAGGTTTTGCATGGGGGCTTGCCCAGCCTCTTACAATCACATTGTAAGTCACCCTAAAGCAATAGCATCGCTCTCTCATGTACTTACAAAAGCTTCCTTTCACAAGCTCTGTCTCCTGTATCTAACAGCCAGGTTCCAAGTATGATATCTTACCAAAGCACCAGCTCCATCTTGCTTCATTGTAAGTTACAAAAGGATGAGTGGATATTATACATGTACATATCTGCTGCAACTGTGCAATGATGACCAGTCTGTTCAAGACCCAAGGGGGCCGAGCTTGGCAGGTCTGACTAGGGTCTGCCACAGCCTAATGAAGATGAGTAAGAGCCTGTCTCTCCTTACGGACCTCTATGTATCACAGTACTCACCGAGTCTCTCGGAGGATAGATTAAGATAAATGCTGGAAGGGAGTACAAACAATGCTACAAAATAGGAGGGGATGGCTTGATTTGGGGATCACGACAGGCTTATGGAGGAGATACCTTAAAGATGGGATAGATTTTCAACTGGTAGCGACTAAGAGGAAGGAAGGGGCTCTCCAATGGAGGGAAATGCTTGAGTAAAGATGCTGGAACAGAAAAATACTGTCTAGAGAACAGTGAGATATTTATTTGTCTGGAGTTAGATTATGGGTTGGACCAAAGCAGGGTAACACTCTTAGTGCTTGGGCTATGTACGAGAAGTTTGCCTCAGTGACATTTAACTTGAGCAGGGCACTATACCAGCTGGATTTAGCTCTATTGCTCCTGGTGACTCTGCCCATGTTTCTATATCCAGTTTGATGATTTATGATCTTTTGATCTAGATCCTTTCTAATTCTGTGACTCATTCTCTCATTTTCTTGAGCCTATATGCAACTGTTATGAACCAGGGAGATCACTGGAGACACTGTTAGGTTGGGGTTTGTGGGAGCTTCCCTGAGAATCATGAAAAGTCTGTTTTGTTTTTGTCCATTTTGTGTTGCTACATCAAAATACCACAGACTGGGTAATTTATAAAGAACAGCAATTTATTTATTTCTCACAGTTCTGGAGGCTGGGAAGGTATCTCTTTCATAAGAAATAAAAAACAAAGAAGTTCCTTTACAAGGGCACCTACTCCCATTCATGAGGGAGGAGCCCTCATGGCATACTCACCTCACCCTGCTTCTTAATCCTATCACATTGGCAGCACCTGAATTTGGGATGGCACACATTCAAACCATAGTGTCCTCATTAAAAAACGTTATAAATATGCCTTCTAATTTTATGTCATTTTATAATTTGGGATCATCTATTGTTTGCAGGTGATATTGTTTGTTTGCTATGATTGAAATTCATTGCTTGTGAAGGCAAGTAATTTTTTAAGGCATGTTTTTAGCCACTGGTATATAATAATGGTGAGTAACATCCCAAATTGGGATATATTGAGATGTTAGCCTCAGTTCATGGTCTTCTAGACTAAATTTGAGTATGTATCTGCAGCATTACAGAAATCAGAAGCCACATGATGATTTATTATTATACATCCTCATTTTAAATATTTTGAAGGGGGCGTAAAATGGCATTTTGTGAACTATCTTAGGTTTAAAATGCCTACAGATGGAGGAGGAAAAGTAGGTTCATTATATTATCTGCTTGAATTGCTACACACAGCCAACATCCACAGGTTCTGCACACCAGTGGAGGAGGAAAGTGGGTTATGTTCTGTTCAGAGCAAATGCACAGGACTTCTGTGACACGGCCATGTTCTATTTTACCCAGAATTGTGCAACCTCTTCTTTATCTTTTTAGAAACTTCTGGGTGACACTTTCAAGTACTTTGTGTTCATATCTCCACTTGGTCTTCCCAGACACCTGCAAGTTCCGAGTTTGCATGCTGCTTTCTGCAGCTGGCAAGACAGGCTGTCCAGTTTCATGGGGTTGCTGAGAAATTACATTTGCTTTCACACTGGCTTACAATACATGACCTTGCTTTCATGCCACACCATGACCTTGCTTCAGCTCAGAAAGCAGTACAAAGAATGGAATGTTAAGTATGTCTTTGGATAGCTTAATCAGTCATGCTGGTTGCTATGTTACTGATTACAGAAAATGTGTGCTTTGTATACCAGATAGTTTGGAGGCAGTGTTGCTGTTCTGTGAGAAAGGTAGAGAAGGCTAACATTAACCATATTTTACTGTTACCTCTTACAGCAAGTGCTGGCTACTAAAGAGGTTTGTTAAGTGCTTCAATAGAGGTTTGTGTGTATTAATAGTATCAGTGGTAGGAAGGAGTTACTGACCCGATCAGTGTGGGCTCTTCCCAGGAATGCTTTGTACAGTGGGAGATGCTTCAACTGGTTCTGAAAGCTGTGAAGGGTTTTGCTGAGCAGGTAAGTAGAAGAGTGTGATCCAGGCAAAGGCATGGGAAAGAACTCCTTGTTGAGGTTTGGTTTGGTGTATTAATGGGAGATAAGGGCAGGCACTGGACCAAGAGGGACCCTTGAATGCAAAGAATATTGGAACCTGCAATGGGAGATGGGGAACCACTGAACAGTTTGAATTAGGAAAGTGACTTGGTTCAAACATGAACTTCAGAAAGTTCATTCTGATAGGACATAGATTTGGAGAAGGTGAGGTCGGAGGCAAAGGGATGAGTCTGGGTGAGGGACGGGTGCTAAGGAACACCAGTATGGAAGGGGCAGGTGCACAAAGAGAGTGCTGAGGGAAGGGAGAAAGTTAGAGAGGGACTGGGTAGAACACAGTGGTATAAGGTCAGTCAAGGCAGAAGAGTTTCAAGGAGGGATTAATTAACAGCATCAGATGGGGCAGAGTGCTCAGAGGAAAGAGGACTTCTAAGTACCCTTGGATGTGGCAGCTAGGAAATCACCAAGGTCTCAGCAAAAGTAGTGTCATCAGGGCTGGGATACTAGGGTGAGGTGAGGGAGGTACTCACTTCTGGCATGACATTTAAGGGGATGCTCAAAAACTCAGTAATCAAGATAAATAATATCTTAATGCAGTATTTTCAAGAATTGACATAAATGCCAAAAATCTATGATGAGCAGAACATCAACATTTTACATAAAGACAGTGTCACTATTACTGATTTTTCCTTTGCCTCAGATCCACGGTGGCTCAGCACTGAGGGTCACAGTGTAACGGATGGTGGGTTGGGGGGATCCGAGCGCAGGCATGTTGAGAAGTGGATTGGAGTTGAAGAAATTGAAGCACTAAATGAAGACTGTGCCTTCACAAAGTCCCAGCTTCATGTGAAAGAATGGTGGGTCCAAGGGACCTCAGGCTTAAGGGGTTTTTGGTTTTATTTATCCTTTGAGGTGGAAGAGACTTGAGCATGTTTACGAGCTGAGAGGAGCAGTCCCTAGAGGTGGAGAGAGGGTGACGAAAGCACAGGGGCTCTGTGGAGGCAGGAGGGGGGACATGGATGGTTGGCCCTGGGCAGGCTGAGGGGCAGGGGGTGCTGGCGGGGGCAGTGGACAGGTGGAAGGTGGCGGAAGCTCACCCTGATAGACGGCACCAGTGGGCAGTGTTAGGGTGGAAGAAAACAATGAAGGTTGGAGCTGTCCCTGACGGGGTGGGGGTGTGTGATAGATAAGGAACTGACCACGGTTCTGTAAATGAAACTACCAGCAGCAGAAGCCCAGCTGAGGGTGGGAGCCACAGTGCGGTGGTGGTGGCGGTGTCAGTTTGAGGGTTGTGTGATCTTTTCTCCCTCCCTTCAGAGCTGCTTCCTACTCTAGGTGGAGGAGTGGAGGAGGCTCACTATCTGAGGCTGGGGTGCTAGGGGTTTCCTGGGACTCAGGACTTTCAGTGCTAAAACTGGAAAGTCCTGGGCAAACAAGGACCAGTTGGTCACCTGAAGTATTGCAGGGCTGGTAGTCAGGAGGCAAAAAGGTGAGAGAATTGAGGGTATTCTTCAGACAGAGGTGGTAGCGTGTGCTCCAGGTCCGGTCTGGAGAGAAAAGGAGTGAGGTCATTATCCGGTAGCATCTCGTGTAACTCCATTTGTTTACTCAACAAATATTGAGTGCTATTGAGTCAGGAACTAGGTCTGTACAGAGGATTTAACCACAAAAAAGAAATAAATGTCCTCATGGAATATCCTCCTGTGGTGGCCAGGGTCAGTTGCTGCTCCGGACCCATTTCACCTCTGCTACCGGGTGGAAAGCTACAAACAGCATTTCCTAACCTCTTTTACAGCTAGGATGTGAATTCAGTTCTGTCAGCGAGACGCACTCAGGCAAGATTTGCAAGGAGAAGTAGGTGGAGGCCAAGACTTTGCTGCTTTTCTTCCTTTCTCTGCTGGCTAGCTTGGTGGTGGTGATGGGGCCGTTTGGAAGCAGGTGTGGTAAGGGTGTCCCCCCCATTGCTGGGTCTCTGCTATGGCAGGGGGTCTTTGAGCTCAGTCGGCCCCCCACCCCCCTATTCCTCCCATGGCTGTCTCCTGATTCCTCACTGGCCTGACTAAGGCACAGTCATCCTGGGAACCCCAGGGATTTTCATTAGAAACCCAGCCTAAAGCCCTTTCCTCTACTCCTTCCAGCAGTTTTGTAAGTCCCAGTATTGAATGTATTTCTACTGAAAATGCCTGGAGTGTCTCTTTTTCCGGAATATGATGCTCCTTCTGTTAACCAGTACTGTAGAAATTAACACTAGTGACTTACATAAGCTTTGTTTGGCATTTTAAATATCACTGGCAATGCTCTCATAACTTCCACCAAAGAAATGAAACTGAATCTGGTCTTAGGCTTTAGTTGCTCTGTTTGTGAAGATCAGGGACAGTTTGTACCAAGGGGAGGGGGATTTTGTGTGGGTGTGGAAGAGAGGGGGAGACATAGTCACTAAATTAGTGACGGGACTTAAGAAAAGGGGATTTCCTTTAAAATTCTAGAAACACACATGCAGATGCTAATTTTATCTGGCTAGGGAAGGCAATAGGCTTAAAGCAGTGAGAGGTGAAATGAAACTAATGGAATATTGATCTGTCAGGAGGAATGGGTACTTGAAAGCAGGGAAGAGAAAGAACTGGGCATGGATAGCCCCTTTGCATCTCACCTGAGTAAGGTGAAGGCAAGTGACTCTTCAGAAGAGGTGCAAGGGGTACTGAGTCAGGCAGCTCAGGCAGGTGCCATTGATAACCGATGGGTGTGGGTTTTTTACTGGGCGCTGAAGAACTCATTCTATGGCCACTCCTGCTCCCCTCTATCTTTTGAACCATGTTAAATAAAATGTGACCTGTGCTTTTTAAGGATAACTTTGGGAAGTCTTTAGGCTTCTTGTTCTAAGGTTTGTCTAGACATACACTGAGAAAACTCTAAAAGCATTTTAAATGCTGTGAGATGGTTCACTATGGCATGCACTGTTTTTTCTTTTCTTTGTCATTTGTGTTGCTTTTATTTAGTACTCATTAACCGATTGGTAAAGGCTGAGTACAGAAGAGACTGAAACTAATTTTTCAGTTTCTAAACCTATAAGGTTTCCTTTTGGCTATTTTTGCTTTCTAATTTTATTGTGCTATGATCAGAGAATGTGCTGCGAAGTATATTTATTTTAGTGTCTGTGTAACTCACCCAGCTTATGAAGTAAAATATTACAAATTCAGTCAATTTCCCTCTGTATTCTTATCTAGTCACATTCCTTTCATCTCACAATGAATGGTTTGTATGTCTTAAATGTTTTTGTAACTGAAGGTATAATATTCTCATAGATTTTTCAAAAATTTTATATCTATGACTTTAAAACATGTGGAATTGACTTGTATATGGTGTGAGGAAAGGATCCTAATTTGCCCCTATATATGTATATATGGATAACCAGCTGTCCCAGCACTATTTCTGGACATGAATGTCTTTACCCTATTGATTTACAGGACAACTGCTGTCATTTGTATATGGATTGACTTCTGAACTCTCATCTATGTATTGGGGTTTTTTTATACATACCTGTGTCATGTTAATATAAATTTGTATAAAGATCTTGATATCTGGTAAGGCAACTTCTTAAAACTTTGGGGAAAATCACTGTCTCACTGTTTCTCTCCTGCTATACTCTCAATATAGCATACAAAGTCTCTGTGACCAGATATGTGGGGTTTTCCCCACCCCACACACCAAACAGTTCTTTATTTAGACACTCCATGATTCAATTCAATGTTGATGCCATCTACCTGGAGTTGGAGTTAGATCCCACAGGTTAAGGGCTCAGTCCTGCAAGACTGCCACAATCAGACTTTACAGTTTAGACACCAATAGCAAGTAGTAGGTGTCATCTGCCTTTCTGACCTATCAGCTGTAATTACCCTCTCCTTGGGTTCAATTAATTTGCTAAAGTGGCTTACAGAACTCAGGGAAATATGCTTACTGGCTTATTATAAAGGATATTACAAAGGGCACAGATGAACAGACAGATGGAAGAGATGCGCAGGGTAAGTTATGGAGCAGTGATAGGACATGGGGTTTCCATGCCCTCTCTGGGTGAGCTACCCTCCCAGCACCCCCATGTGCTCAGCAACCCAGAAGTTCATCAATCACATCCCTCTTCAAGAGTTTTTATAAAGCTTAATCCACAGTCCTCTCCCCACTCTCTCCTAGAGATTGGTGGGTAAGGCTGAGGTTCCAACCCTTTAATTCTCTAATTACTTGCTCTTTCTGGTGACTAGCCCCACCTAAGTCACCTCATTAGCATAAACTCAGGTGTAATCAAAAGAGACTTATTTATGCATAACAAAAAACACTCCTATATCATTCAGGAAAATTCTGTGGGTTTTGATAGGAACCAGGGACAAAGACTAAATCTATTTCATATTATAAAACTATAATCTATTTCATATTATAGCCACAACTTATATTGGCTATTCATGGCCCTTTTCCTCTTTCATGTAAGTTTAAGATCAGCTTTCCAGTCCATAGCAAATTTTATTGGATTTTTTATTTAGTAATTCACTTGAGAATTGCTATCTTTATGATATGGAACCTTCTGTTTATTATTATGGTGCATTTTTTCAGTTATCTCTGTTTTAACTGAAGTCTTCAATACGGTTTTATAATTTCTTCTTTAAATGGCTTAAATACTTTTGTTAGAATGATTCTATGGCCCTTATAGATTTTGCTGCTATTGTATTAACTTATTTTAAAATTAATTTATATTTTCTTCCTGTTTGTTGCTAATGTATAGAAATGTAATTGACTTACTTATCGATCATATATCTCAAAACTTTAACCTTTTATTAATTCTGACATTTTATCTGTCAATATACTTGGGTTTCCTGGGTGCAAAATCTTATTGCCTGTGAATAATGATAGTTGTTTCTTTGGTTACAGCGTTTATACTCTATTTTTAATTTTTTCTTGTTTTACTATGCTTGGCTCTGTCC